TGGCTGCAAGAGGAGCCGTTGCTCCATCGCCCATTAGTATTTTTTGTTTTTCCTCCGGGTTTAATAAGTAAACATTTGGAATACAGTGCATTCGGAAAGTAGTAACTTGACTTTTTCCACATTTTGTTACGTTACAGCCTTATTCTAAACTGGAAAAAATAGTTATTTTTCCTCATCAATCTGCACAAATTACTTTTTTTTATTTATTTTATTTTTATTTTAGCAGACACTCTTATCCAGAGCGACTTACAGTTTTTAGTGAGTGCATACATTTTCATACTGGCCCCCCGTCGGAATCGAACCCACAACCCTGGCGTTGCAAACGCCATGCTCTACCAACTGAGCTACACGGGACTAGCAAAAAAATATTTTTTGAAATGTACATTCCATCAGGTTCAAATCCGTGGTCTGGCTGGGCCACTCAAGGACATTCAGAGAGACGTGTCCTGAAGCCACTCCTGCGTTGTCTTAGCTGTGTGCTTAGGGTCATTGTCCTGTTGGAAGGTAAACCTTCACCACAATCTGAGGTCTTGAGCGCTCTGGTGCAGGTTTTCAACAAGGATCTCTCTGTACTTTGCTCTGTTCATCTTTCACTAAATCCTGACTAGTCTCCCAGTCCTTGCCACTGAAAAACATCCCCACAGCATGATGCTGCCACCACCATGCTTCACCGTAGGGATGATGCCAAGTTTCCTCCAGACGTGACGCTTGGCATTCAGGCCAAAGAGTTCGATCTTGGTTTCACCAGACCAGAGAATCTTGTTTCTCATGGTCTGAGAGTCCTTTAGGTGCCTTTTGGCAAACTCCAAGCTGGCTGTTATGTGCCTTTTACTGAGGAGTGTCTTCCGTCTGGCCACTCTACCATAAAGGCCTGATTGGTGGAGTGCTGCAGAGATGGTTATCCTTCTGAAGGTTTCTCCCATCTCCACAGAGGAACTCTGGAGCTCTGTCAGAGTGACCATTGGGTTCTTAGTCACCTCCCTGACCAAGGCCCTTCTCCCCTGATTGCTAAGTTTGGCCGGGCGGACAGCTCTAGGAAGAGTCTTGGTGGTTCCAAACTTCTTCCATTTAAGAATGATGGAGGCCACTGTGTTCTTGGGGACCTTCAATGCTGCAGAAATCTTTTGGTACCCTTCCCCTGATCTGTGCCCCGACACAATCCTGTCTCAGAGCTCTGACAATTCCTTTGACCTCATGGCTTGGTTTTTGCTCTGACATGCACTGTCAACTGTGGGACCTTATACAGACAGGTGTGTGCCTTTCCAAATCATGTCCAATCAATTGAATTTACCACAGGTGGACTCCAATCAAGTTGTACAAACATCTCAAGGATGATCAATGGAAACAGGATGCACCTGATCTCAATTTTGAGTCTCATAGCAAAGGGTCTGAATTCTTATGTAAATAAGGTATTTCTTTTTTTATTTGTAATACATTTGCAAAAATGTCTTAAAACCTGTTTTCACTTTGTCATTATGGGGTATTGTGTGTAGATTGATGCGAATATATATATTTTTAATCCATTTTAGAATAAGGCTGTAACATAACAAAATGTGGAAAAAGTCAAGGGGTCTGAATACTTTCCGAATGTAGTAATTTCTGTGAATAATGAATCTCTTGGTGAGGAATATTTTTTACAGTAAAGGAGAAAGTGCATCTCTGTTTCTACCTCCCCTGTCGTGCAGTGACCACATACACGCTCCTCTTTGGGTGGCCATGTCTTTTTATATCTGCCGGTTTCTATAGCCAATTGGTGGTCACTCAGCCTGTACTTGGTAAGGATCTGTCTCTGCTTTGTATGTCTGACAGAGTAGAGATTATCAGCCAATTCAAATTCTCTGTTTAGGGCCAGATAGCAATTTAGTCGGCTTTGGGATTATTATTTTTTTTCCAATGTTGTAATTATGAGTCCTTTTATTTGTTCATGATTTTGTTTATTTGATTTATTTATTTTGAAGCAGTGCTGGTGTCAGCTTGGTTGGTTAGGTCAAACACCAGCTGACTGAGAGGGCTTGTTACTGGGCTCAGTTCTTGGGGTTGAAGTGCTTTAAATTGTAGTCTTGAATTTGGACTTGAATTTAGGTGTTGCCAACATTTCTATGATATTTTTTGTATTTTCATTACCACTGGAAAGCGGCCCAATTCTGCCCTACACGCATTAGTTGGTGTATTTCTTTGGACTATAATTTTCTGACAGAATTCTGCATGTAGGGCTTCAACTGGATGTCTGTCCCACATGTTAAAGTCTAGTTTATTGAGTGGCCCCCAAACCTCACTTCTGTAAAGAGCTATTGGTAGGATTACGCTGTCAAATATTTTGGTCCAAATTCTAATTGGGATGTGATTTTGAATAATTTCAATTTTATTGCATACAATGCTCTTCTGGCTTTTTCTTTGAATGCATTCACTGCCACATTAAAGTTTCCCGATGCAGATATGGTCAGATCAAGGTATGAGTAATTTTCTGTGTGTTCAATTATGGTGTTGTTCAAGGTGAATTTATATTTGTGTTTCTGACATCTGGAGTTTTTCAGGAAAATCATTTTAAAATTATTGCCTGGGCCCAATTATGAAAATATTGCTCTAGAATATGAAGGTTCTGTTGAAGACCTTCTTTGATTGGTGATAGAAGAACCAAATCATCACCATATAGCAGGTGTTTTAGCTCTGTGTCAAATAGTGGGAGTCCTGGGGCTGCAGAATGGTCCAATATCTGCTAATTCATTGATGTAAATGTTGAAAAGGTTTGGACTCAAGCTGCAGCCTTGTCTCCCACCTCGACGTTGCGAAAATATTTATATATTTTTTTTTTTATTGCACACTTGTTTTCTGTGTACATACATTTTGTTAAGTCATACACCTTACCACCAAGCCCACTTTGGATAATTTTGAGGAATAGACCTTTGTGCCAAATAGAATCAAATGCTTTTTTTAAGTCAATAAGGCAAGCAAAGATTTCGCCCTCTTTTTTTTGGTGGACATGTTAATTAATTAACCTTTCCCAAGTTGCTGTTTACGCAAATTCCCCTGTAATTATTGGGGTCTGATTTGTCTCCACTTTTGTGGATAGGGGAGATGAGCCCTTGCTTCCAGACATCATAAAAGCAGCCAGACGTTAGTACTATGTTGAACAATTTAAGCCCAGCATTTTGCATTTTATTTCTGATGTTATCTAGACCACAAGCCTTCTTTGGTTTTATATATTTTAGCTTTTCATTTAGTTCTTGTTGGGTTATTGGGTATTCTAATGGATTTTTGTTGTTTTTAATGACTGATTCAAGGATGTTCAATTTGTCTTGAATTTCCAATTGGTTATGTTGTAAATCTTTTTGTGGGATGTTTTTGTATAGATTATCAAAATACGTTTTCCAAATTCCTTAATCTTGTTGTCACGAACGTCAGGGTAAGGAGTAGACCAAGGCGCAGCGTTGCAGGCAAACATACTCATTTATTAAGCGAAACGATATCAAAACAACAAAAGACGGAAACGTGACAGTACACGGTATAACACAACCAACTCGAAACAAGAACCCACAAAACACAAAGGAAAACCGACAGTTTAAATATGGCTCCCAATCAGAGACAACCAGCAAACAGCTGACACTCGTTGCCTCTGATTGGGAGTCACTCAGGCCAACATAGAAAATGACAAACTAGACCCCCCAACATAGAAATATAACACATAGAATAAACACACCCTGGCTCAACAAATAGAGTCCCAGAGCCAGGGTGTGACACTTGTAGGCTAATTCTTGTGGCTTTGTCGTGCTTAAATTGTTCCACATGTCCCAGAACTGATTTTTGTCAATTGCGTTTTCAATTTCAATTCAAGTGTCTTATTGGAATGATTCAATTTATTGCATTTCAGTGTGTGTTTATACTGTTTCAGAGTTTCAAAGTATTCATTGCGTAGCTCTGGGTTGTTTTGCTGCTTATGTTTTTCATTTGACATTTGTCTTAGGTGTTTTCTAATTGTTTTACATTCGTTATCAAACCATTTTTCAGAAATGTTTTGTTTTGTGTTTCTGATGTTGCATTTCTTTGGTTTTCTCAAATTTGCTTTTGATGCTGCTTTTTGAAATATGCTATTGATGTTTCGAGTAGCCGAATTGAAACCCTCTTTATTGTTTTAGTACTCTGAGTTATAGAGTTCATCATTTCATTTGAGTTCAATGTTTCAATGATTTCTCTGCACTGTTTGGAGTCCATCTGTACGATTGGTTCATGTTGTAGAGTTTATTGGGGGCTGTTTTTAAAAATGCCGGATAATTTTGTATTGCCGGATAATTTCTTCAGAAAAAAACACGTTGATCTGACTGTGATCTGACAATGGTGTCTGTGGTCTGCCAGTGAATATACTAATGGAGGAGGGGTCAATGTCAGTGATGGCGTAATCGATAACACTTGTCCCAAGAGCTGAGCAGTAAGTAAACCGAACTAAAGAGTCCCTTGTGATTCTACCATTAAGCATGTACATGCCTGAGGCTCGACAGAGATGCACTAACTCCTTCACATTTTTTTGTTCAGTATTTGTTCAGGACTGTTTCTATTATTTATAGTAGGGCTACTGTACCAGGAGGGGTGTCCAAATATGTGGTGGTTACCTCCCGAATCAGTGTAGTCAGGCTCAGAACCTGTTCTCGCATTGAAATCTTCACAAAATGGCACTTTACCCTCTGCCTGAAATTGAATGATTTATGTATGGAGATTGTAAAAAAAAAATGATAATCAGAATATGATGAATAATAATAATATGCCATTTAGCAGACGCTTTTATCCAAAGCGACTTACAGTCATGCGTGCATACATTTTTTTGTGTATGGGTGGTCCCGGGGATCGAACCCACTACCTTGCCGTTACAAGCGCCGTGCTCTACCAGCTGAGCTACAGAGGACCACAGCTGAGCTACAGAGGAGCATAAGCTGCACATATGTATACATCATCGTCACAATAGATTGTACCTTTGTTAAGTTTTAGCCAAATGTGGTTAGTACCTTTTATCAGGCCGGGTCTAGTAGAGCTGTGTTGTGATGGGCCGGGTCTAGTAGAGCTGTGTTGTGATGGGCCGGGTCTAGTAGAGCTGTGTTGTGATGGGCCGGGTCTAGTAGAGCTGTGTTGTGATGGGCCGGGTCTAGTAGAGCTGTGTTGTGATGGGCCGGGTCTAGTAGAGCTGTGTTGTGATGGGCCGGGTCTAGTAGAGCTGTGTTGTGATGGGCCGGGTATAGTAGAGCTGTGTTGGGATGGGCCGGGTCTGGTCTGGTAAATCTGTTCTGTGGTGGGCCCGGTCTTGTAGAGCTGTGCTGGAGTAAGCTGTGTCTTGCTCTTCTCTCCTGGGGATGGTGGGGGTACTGTTGTTTCAGAAGGTGGAGCGGGGGGCCGCTGCTGCTGGGGTGATGGGTGTGTGGGTCCCTGCCAAGTGTTGCATCCTTTAGGTCCTTGGCAAAGGTTCTGACACTGACCTGATCAAGGTGTACATTGTCGTATAAGAGTTCACATGTCAGAGTGGGATGGTGAGCCGTTCTGACGTTGAGCAGTGAGGCACAGTCCACAGTGATCTGTTGATTTATTTTGTCAATCAACTGTCCTGGGAAGTATTTTCTTGGTAAAGACACAACTACATTGGTTGTTGGGAACATAGCCTGTGCCCGTTCTGCCACTCTTCTCACTGCCCCAGATACATTTTCACATTTGGCATAAAGGTAGTTTGTGCCAGTGTGGATGATGATGTTGTCAGGGGTGTCAATCCTGGTCTGACTGAGTAGCTGCATTGCACTCTCAGTTGTAGGACACCAGAATTTATACACCTGGTGTCTAGGAAATAATCTCTCCCGTACCAAGAGCTTCCCATTTGAATCAATAAGGATTGCAGTTGTGGGAGGTTGTCTGGGTGGAGCAGACTGGGAGGCTGGTAGGTTGACCTGGGCTGGAGCAGACTGGGAGGCTGGTAGGTTGACCTGGGCTGGAGCGGACTGGGAGGCTGGTAGGTTGACCTGGGCTGGAGCAGACTGGGAGGCTGGTAGGTTGACCTGGGCTGGAGCAGACTGGGAGGCTGGTAGGTTGACCTGGGCTGGAGCAGGCTGTGCTGGAGCAGACTGGGAGGCTGGTTGGCTGACCTGGTAGGTTGACCTGGGCTGGAGCAGACTGGGAGGCTGGTGCAGTGTCATCAGGCTGTGTGGTGGAGGCCATGCTTGTTACGTTGGTCTCAGGTTCTGCCTGTGTTGTACCCAGCTGGTGGACATGTTCTCTAGATGCAGAGGACCTCTTTCTCTGTCTCTCTCCCTCTCTCTCTCTCTCTCTCTCCTCTCTCTCTCTCTCTCTCCTCTCTCTCTCTCCTCTCTCTCTCTCTCTCTCTCTGTCTCTCTCTCTCTCTCTGTCTCTCTCTCTCTCTCTCTCTCTCTCTATCTCTCCCTCTCTCTCTGTCTCTCTCCCTTTGTCTCTCTCTTTCTATCTCTCTCTCCCTCTGTCTTAATGTCTCTCTCGCTGTCTCTCTCCTCACACTCTGTCTCTCTGTCTGTCTCTCTCTACCTCTGTCCCTCTGTCTCTCGGTCTTTCTCTCCTTCTGTCTCTCTGTCTGTCTCTGTCTCTCTCTCTCTGTCTCTCTTTCTCTCTCCATCTGCCTCTCTCTCTCTCTCTCTCTCTCAAATCAATTCAATTAAATTTCAATTCAATTCAATTTAAGGGCTTTACTGGCATGGGAAACGTATGTTAACATTGCCAAAGCAAGTGAAGTAGATAGTAAACAAAAGTGAAATAAACAATAAAAATTAACAGTAAACATTACACTCAGAAGTTCCAAAAGGATAATGACATTTCAAATGTCATATTATGTATAGATACAGTGTTGTAACAATGTGCAAATAGTTAACCTCTTTGGGATCAGACCTTTCTTTTTTTTCTTTTTACATGATGGATCATTAGCTTATACACTAACTTTCACACATCTAGATGGCTGGGTAGGGTGGGTGTGGAGCCAGAGACAGCAGGGATTCAAACTGCAGAACCCAGTTCCTACATTTGAATATAAAAATTGATTTTATCAAACAAAACTATGCTACGTTTTTTCTCTGGGACCCTTAGGATGACAAATCAGAGCAAGATTACTGAATGTAAGTACATTATTTACCTTCAGAGGTGAATGTATGAAACCAGTTGCTGTGATAAGGTTTTTGTTGTTGTGCATTATCCTTAAACAATATCATGGTATTTTTTCACTGTAATAGCTACTGTAAATTGGACAGTGCAGTTAGATTAACAAGAATTTAAGCTTTCTGCCCATATAAGACATGTCTATGTCCTGGAAAGTCTGCTGTTACTTACAACAGTCATGCTAATCACATTAGCGCACGTTAGCTCAACCGTCCCGTATACGGGACACCGATCCTGTTGAGGTTAAAGCACAAATGGGAAAATAAATCAACATAAATATGGGTTGTGTTTACAATGGTGTTTGTTCTTCACTGGTTGCCCTTTTCTTGTGGCAACAGGTCACAAATCTTGCTGCTGTGATGGCTCACTGTGGTATTTCACCCAGTAGATAAAGGAGTTTATCAAAATTGGGTTTGTTTTCTAATTCTTTGTGGATCTGTGTAATCTGAGGGAAATGTTTGTCTCTAATATGGTCATACATTTGGCAGGAGGTTAGGAAGTGCAGCTCAGTTTCCACCTCATTTTGTGGGCAGTGTGCACATAGCCTGTCTTCTCTTGGAGAGCCAGCTCTACCTACGGCGGCCTTTCTCAATAGCAAGTCTTTACATATTCAAAGCTTTCCTTAATTTTCGGTCAGTCACAGTGGTCAGTTATTCTGTCACTGTGTACTGTCTGTTTAGGGCCAAATAGCATTCTAGATTGCTCAGTTTTTTTGTTAATTCTTTCCAATGTGTCAAGTAATTCTCATTTTGTTTTCTCATAATTTGGTTGGATCTAATTGTGTTGTTATCCTGGGGCTTTGTGGGGTCTGTTTGTGTTTGTGAACAGAGCCCCAGGACCAGCTTGCTTAGGGGACTCTTCTCCAAGTTCATCTCTCTGTCGGTGATGGCTTTGTTATGGAAGGTTTGGGAATCGCTTCCTTTTAAGTGGTTATAAAATGTAACAGATATTTTCTGGATTTTGAAAATTAGCGGGTATCAGTCTAATTCTGCTCTGCATGCATTATTTGGTGTTTTCCGTTGTACACTGAGGATATTTTTGCAGAATTCTGCATGCAGAGTCTCAATTTGGTGTTTGTCCCATTTTGTGAATTATTGGTTCATGAGCGGACCACTGACCTCACAACCATGAATTGCAATGGGTTCTATAACTGATTCAAGTATTTTTTGCCAAATCCTAATTGGTATGTCGAATTTTAAGTTCCTTTTGATGGCATAGAAGGCCCTTCTTGCCTTGTCTCTCTGATCGTTCACAGCTTTGTGGAAGTTACCTGTGGTGCTGATGTTTAGGCTGAGGTATGTATACCTTTTTGTGTGCTCTAGGGCAACAGTGTCTAGATGGAATTTGTATTTGTGGTCCTGGCAACTGGACCTTTTCTGGAACACCATTATTTTTCTGACAGAATCTGTGCAGAAGATCTAGGTGCTGCTGTAGGCCCTCCATGGTTGGTGACAGAAGCACCAGATCATCAGCAAACAGTAGACATTTGACTTCAGATTCTAGTAGGGTGAGGCCGGGTGCTGCAGACTGTTGTAGTGCCCTCGCCAATTCGTTGATAGATATGTTGAAGAGGGTGGGGCTTAAACTGCATCCCTGTCTCACCCCACGGCCTGTGGAAAGAAATGTGTGTGTTTTTTGCCAATTTTAACTGCACACTTGTTGTTTGTGTACATGGATTTTATAATGTCGTATGTTTTTCCCCAACCCCACTTTCCTTCAATTTGTATAGCAGACCCTCATGCCAAATTGAGTCAAAAGCGTTTTTGAAATCAACAAAGCATGAGAAGAATTTGCCTTTTTTTTTGGTTTGTTTGTTTGTCAATTAGGGTGTGCAGGGTGAATACATTGTCTGTCATACGGTAATTTGGTAAAAAGCCAATTTGACATTTGCTCAGTACATTGTTTTCACTGAGGAAATGAACTATGTTAATGTTAATTAACTAATGTTAATGATAATGCAGAGGATTTTCCCAAGGTTGCTGTTGACGCATATCCCACGGTAATTATTGGGGTCAAATTTATCTCCACTTTTGTGGATTGAGGTGATCAGTCCTTGGTTCCAAATATAGGGGAAGATGCCAGAGCTAAGGATGATGTTAATGAGTTTAAGTACAGCCAGTTGGAATTTGTGGTCTGTATATTTTATCATTTCATTTAGGATGCCATCAACACCACAGGCCTTTTTGGGTTGGAGGGTTTGTATTTTTCGGTTGGTTCCGGTAGTCTTTAATAGTTGATTCTAAGATTAGCATTTGATCATGTATTTTTTTTGCTGTTTGTTCTCTGTTATAGGCACAAAAAGATTGTAGAAGTGGTACATACATCTCCGTTTTGGATAGATAGCTTTTTGTGTTGTTGTTTGTTTAGTGTTGTTCAATTTTCTCAGAAGTGGTTAGAGTCTATGGATTCTTCAATTACATTGAGCTGATTTCTGACATGATGTTCCTTCTTTTTCTGTAGTGTATTTCTGTATTGTTTTAGTGATTCACCATAGTGAAGGCGTAGGCTCAGGTTTTCTGGGTCTCTTTGTTTTTGGTTGGATAGGTTTCTCAATTTCTTTCTTAGGTTTTTGCATTCTTCATCAAACCATTTATCACTGTTGTTACTTTTCTTCGGTTTTCTGTTAGAGATTTGATAGGGAAGCTGAGAGGTCAAATATACTGTTTAGGTTTTCTACTGCCAAGTTTACACCTTCACTATTAAAGTGGAATGTTTTGTCCAGGAAGTTGTCTAAAAGAGATAGAATTTGTTGTTGCCTAATTCTTTTTTGGTAGGTTTCGACACTACTTTCCTTCCAGCTATAGCATTTCTTAATATTATTCAGTTACTTTGGCTTTGATGGCTCATGATTGAGTATTGCTCTGTTCAAGTAGACTGTGATTTTGCTGTGGTCTGACAGGGTTGTCAGTGGGCTGACCGTGAACGCTCTGAGAGACTCTGGGTTGAGGTCAGTGATAAAGTAGTCTACAGTACTACTGCCAAGAGATGAGCTATAGGTGTTCCTACCATAGGAGTTCCCTCGAAGCCTACCATTGACTATGTACATACCCAGCGTGCGACAGAACTGCAGGAGCTGTGACCCGTTTTTGTTGGTTAGGTTGTCGTAGTTGTGCCTAGGGAGGCATATGGGGGAGGGAATGCTGTCTCCTCCAGGTGGGGCTCTGTGGGGTCTGTTTGTGTTTGTGAACAGAGCCCCAGGACCATCTTACTCAGGGGACTCTTCTCCAAGTTCATCTCTCTGTAGGTGATGGCTTTGTTATGGAAGGTTTGGGAATCGCTTCCTTTTAAGTGGTTATAGAATTTAACTGCTATTTTCTGGAATTTGATCATTAGCGGGTGTCTGTTCTCTCTCCCTCCCTCTCTCTCTCCCTCTCTATCTCTCTCTCTCTCTCCCAGTGACGTGTGTCTGTGTATCTGTGCATGTGCTTTTGCTTATGTGTGGTGTACTTGAGATGTGTATTTGATCCACGTTTGGGGGGAAGGACCAGTGTAAAGCTCTGTGGTGGTGTGGTGGAAGGTAGGTTACACACACACACACACACACACCACTGGTGTCGTGGATTGTTAAACTAGTGTCAGTGAGTGGTGAAAGGACACGTTAAATAATGAATGTGTGATGAGGCTGTAGCTAACTCTAGCTGACACCAGCACATCTGTCCTTCCACCCTAAAACATCTCTCTCTCTCTCTCTCTCTCTCCCTCTCTCTCTCTCTCTCTCTCTCCTCTCTCTGCTCTCTCTCGCTCTCTCTCTCCTGAACTGAACCACTGATCATGTACTGATTTTTTATTTATTTAACTATTTAATGGACATTAGTAACCAGTTTTCATTTACAATTGTAAAGTTAGCCCAGAGATCAAAACACAGAATTACAATTCAAACAAACATGATTTCTGCACAAAGAGTTTGAAAAGCCAGTAGTCTGAATCTCCTCTCCTATTCCTTTCTCTCCTCTCTCCCATCCTCTATATTCTCCCCTCCTCTCTTCTGAACTTCCATATGATTCTATCTGACCATCCT